ATCTTGTTTTGTAGATTGCAGTTGATAAGTTTTTAAAATACAATATAGAAACAATTTGTTACAAAACTTTAATTAACCTATTTTAATTCTTAATACTTTTTTACGTGATTGTAAATTCTGTCAAATTATTAAGCATAAAGTGAGCAAAAAGCTATGATATAAGAATGACACTATTTTCGTGAAAGCAAGAAAATTTCAAATATTATAATATTATTGGTGAATCAATAACAACTAAAATAGGTGTCAAACTACAATTGTATTATGACTTATACAGTCAGCATACTTTGAAATTCAGGAAATGATGTTTAATATAAGCTGTATATCGATTAGTTAGTGGTCCAACTCTATACGTACTTAGTTGCTGAATGCTATATTGAATAATTCTTTATTTGGTGTTTAAGAATTTTATTTCTTTGCTATTTCTCTACTAGATCAAATTTTATGACATTCAGAAATAAATTTTGTGAGAAAAAATTCTTAATTCAGAATTTTATGTATACAGATTATTTGAAATTTTATTTAAGCATGAAATTTAATACTTACATAAAAATACTACCAATAAATATAATCTAACATATGAAATATGAATTTACTTTGAATATTTTACTCATTTTATAAAATTATCACTAATTTTTGAAATATTTGTATTTTAGTATTAGGACTAATTGAACAGTAAAGAAGGGTCTTGGATTTGACGGAAGAGGAATATATTAAGGTGCTGAATAACTGGAATATGTTTTTAGAAAGATCAAATAGTTCCGTAATATAGTCGCAAGAGATGACGATTCGTAGGGTCAATGCATGTAGGTAGTTAGCAATCAAAGAAATAAACAGACGTTATTATTAATAAATATATATGATAATAATCTCTAAAATTACCTTTATTAACAAGCTCTGCCATTCAATTGGAACTTGAAATGATAAAGAAAATTGTTCACGTCTATTTTCAAGAATTCTCTGACGAACTCATACAATATCATTTTCATGGTACAGCTATTTTCCACAGAAGTACTCTAAAACTATAATAAGAAAAAGGTTTATAAAATTATTATTTAGTCATTTGTAAAAGTATCACACTTAAAATCATATGGATATTAAGCTTCTCCGGCGCGCCATTATTAACACCTTCGCGAATATTTCTGGTAGCTTCTAAAACACGACTTAAACCGAAATTACCAATTTTTGCTGTGTAATGTTTGCCATACTTGGTTCGCCATTTGTAATCAAAATATTTTGACTGCGAATAACGTGATGTAGAATCTCGGCACTTTTTAAATAAGCTAAACTTATAGATATCTAAGCGAATTGTATTTGTAGACTCCAAACAAATCTTATATGTTGATAGAAATCTCTCAAACTTAATTCGAGAGCCCAGAAAAACTTAATTATAACTCCGTGAAATACAATTAAATTCTCTGCTACTGTTAATTTTAATCTTATAAGGATTGTTATTTCTTTTTCCAGATCAACTTCAACTTCGTTGAATGCGACTTCGACATTGTCGTATTTTACGTATTTTAACACTCTGATGTGCTTTTACTGATAGTGTCGGATATTGAGAACTGTGTCGCCGAATACAATTCTAATAAACTAATTAAATAGATTAATTGTTTAGTGTATAACTATTAATTTTATAAAGCCTTTATATTAAATTTTCCATATTACAAATATCCAGATTTATAGCTTTGTCGTTTTAATCAGTTTTTTGTTTCCAAAAAAAGAGATACTCTTAATGCTTGGGCAAGTGCTTCTATGGACCTTTCGAATTCTCCAATAAAAAAATATGAATTTTCTATCCATCGAAAATTCGGAGCTCCGGTGTTCATTAAATACTGTATTTGCCAACACCTTGCAACTGCGAAATATCAATGACAAAATTTTGGATTTTTCAAAAAAATCTCGCTATTTCAAAAAACCATCTGTAATCAAGATTTAGTTGACGTAAAACTTCCACTTCGCCTGCAGCACTATTATATTAAATCCGGCATTTTCATAACATCTACCAACTTTACAATATTTTTACCATTGTTCAAAAATACTTGGATAAGGTCCGTTCGTTTCGTTGCCTCGATATCGAGAGCAATATAACTAGATTTATCAAATATTCAAGTCAAGAACGTAATCTAGATTTAATTTTCTTACGAAGCACATGCAATTTCTGAGTTATCGCATCCATCGTAGAATCCATTATCCTTTGATATTCGAACATAATATCGTTTGGGACTGGTGATGGACGCTCACCATTTTTAATCGCGGAAACTTCGATGGCTTTTTTCTTGCTGCAATTTCCCACATTACTATTGCAAATCCTTAGATAGAAAAATTGTTAAGCTTTGAACAGTTCAGTGATAAATAATATTATTCCGATATACGGAACGTAGGTTACATTTAATTTTTCGGGCGCAGTCCACCTATTTTGATTTTTTACAGCTTTAAGAAGTTAAATCAAGGTAGCATTGAAATGATTGTTTTACCTAATACTCTTCAATTGACCCGATAATGATAATGAGATTGCTTCGTTAGAGAAGCGTGCCGTATCAAAGTAGCCAAGTTTCACAGTTAAATTTTCGTCAAATAATTCATTTTATATTTAAATACATGTAATATGATATAACATAAATACCAATAATTAGGGCTGTTAAAGTCGTGAAGTGATTATGAGAATATAAACCATCCAAAAAAATATGCGGCTGTTGCAAAGACGATTTATTGTATATTACAGTAAATAATTTTTTATTCTTTTATTCTAATTTTTTATATTGCTCTAAGATTCCCGCTTCAAACCACTTCTTTAAGCATAAAAAAGCTCTGGTTGATTGTTCAAGAAGGCAGTTTCTCGAAAGACTAATTGTATTTTTAGCCATGGAGAAGGCATGTTCACAGGGAACACTCGTAGCTTGTAGCGCAAAGTAGTCTGCTGCCATCAAAGCTAAAGTTGGAAAATGGTGAACATTTGTCCTTCACCACCACAATGGATTGGCATTTTGCTCTGGAGGTAATGAAAAGTAGGTTACTAGTTTATTTGTTATAATTTTCTCATATTTTTTTTTGTTTTGCCAGTTACTGAAAATATTCTAAAGAATCTTGTTTAGGTTCTATTATCTCTTATCTATATTATAGAATAGAATAGGAAACTTTTAAATATTAATAACCAACTGGTGATCCCCTTCATTAAAGATTTTGAACTTAGTTAATGGATCAAGGAGAGTAGAAATAGTTGAGGATTGTAAGAGATAAATCCAGTAACTTATTAATTTATTTTTTATTTCTTGAGCTGCTTTGTAATATATATTTCCACTAGCATTTTCAATATAATGGTCAAAATGCATTAAAAGATCTTGGGTGATTATTCTTAATCAACTATTCAAAGATAATGAATTTTTCAACAATTTCAGAGTTATCTTATAAAAAGGTTTGGGAAGCTGAGTCATTTCTTTAATTATATCTCAATCACTAGATTCTAAATAATTTTCTGTTAGATTAGGATGAACTTGTACAAGATTATCTGTAATATTTCAAATTTCAATGAGTCATTTAAGCATTAGATAAGTAGAATTTTATCTTGTATCGATATTAAATTTTGGATGAAGAAATGGATGATTAAAAATGATGAAAATTCTCTTTATTTCTTCCAGAAGTAAAGGTGAGTTTCTAATTTTATTATGCTTTTTTCACCTAATTAACATAATGTTTTTGTTCTTTTTTAATCACAAGCTTTAAAATATGTGCAACACACTGTACATATATAAAATTTGAATTTATATAATTTTTGAAGATATTGTAGATATTTTATTATTTAATACATTATTTTTAGTAAAACCAATTATCTTTTCTTTGATTTCTAGATCTTCTACGAGTTCAAGAACTTTATCTCCAAGATACATACCAGTATGAGAATCATGAAGAGGAATAAGATCAAGAAGAAGAATCCTTGTTATCCATTCATCAGGAAATTTTTTGGGGTGATTTGTATCGATATTTATCGTTAGTTATATATCAATATATATCTGAGTCGTCGATACATATCAAAACAGATATTTGATATATATTGATATATATTGGAGTCATCAATATATATTGTTTAATGATGTAAATTGTTAAATATCATTATTTAATGATGTAGATCGTTAAATATTATTGTTTAACAATATACATCGTTAAATATCATTGTTTAACGATATACATCATTAAATATCATTGTTTAATGATATACATCGTTAAATCGACTTATTTCATTAAATATCGATATATGTG